AAATCGTTATCAATAAGAAATGCGATAATGTCTCAGTGGCAATATACACTCACAACACTTACGGTGGAGATAAGTTAACTCAGGGAAACTATGCTGTACTCAATACCGCTTTACAAAAGAGAACAGAAGAAAGTGGTTTGCAGATTACATCAATAACCACTCAACCAAGTACTTTTACCAATGCAAGACAGGCTATGGCAGATGATACATCCTGTTACGAAATTGTTGCTGATGAACTCAAAAATGGAATTACAATTAGCAGCTTTGACATACCATCACCTTATCCGCAATGTGCAGAACAGTTAGGCTTTTCACATTTAACTTTTCTACATGAGAATTTTGGGGACGAAGATTGGGTTTATCATCTCTTTAAAGAAAAAGAGACACTTAAAAATTCTGACATAGACTTAGAGGACACATCTGCACTCCCTATACAAGAGATTCCAGTACTTACAATAGTGCAAACAAGAGAGAAAGTACAACAGACAGTAAGTTCAAAAGATGTAGCTGAAACAAATAAAATTGCTCAATTAAAGAAAATAGAGGAAGAACATTATAAACCATTTATTCGAGAACTAGCTTATAAAAAAACTCAAGAAGAGCTAAAGGATTTAATAATAGTCCTGACAGATTTAGGGTATTTAAATACAAAGTTAGGAGAGTTAATCGGCGAACTAAAATATTACACAAATGCTGCAGTATTCTATCAATATGTTATTACTATACAAGATGAAAAGTTGAGCGTGGAGAGTAAAAATGTATTTAGCAAACAAGAACTGGCACACCCATATCAGCAATTATCCTACCTACAAGAGTTGATATTTTCTGAAATTGGTGGAGACAAAGAGAAAATGGCAGTTTTTCAAAACGAAGTGAAAAGTAATAAAAAACTATTATTAACAATGCGAAAAAAAACTGATCAAGAGATGCAAGAAATAGAATCCTATTATCAAAAGGCAAGGATTGGAAATCAAGAGGAAAAACAAAAATACCAAGTGTTATATGTAAATGCCGCAAGAGAGTTATTTGAAAAGATAGCTGATAAAATGAAAGATTTTTTGGCTAAACTATTCAAAAAAGCTGAAGCAATGCTAAGTAAACCACCTTGTAAATATGCAGTCATAGGACTTGGTTCAATGTCACTAAAGCAAATGACACCATATTCAGATTTAGAGTTTGCCATTATCACGGAAAATAAGGATTATAAACGAAGTGATGATATAAAAATAAAAGATTACTTTAAAAACTTAACCCATTTAGTAAATTTTAAGATAATCAATCTAGGAGAGAGTATTATTCCTACCAGTAAATATGGTTTAGATATGAGTCATTTAGTGCATAGGGGAGTTAACTTTGATTTAGGCGGCAAAACTCCACTTGGCAGAGTAGAAGGAGACAAACCATATGAGTTAATACGAACAGTCGATGATATGCTGTGGTATGTATATAATAAGGCAGATCATGCTAGTCATATAGATAAGAACCTTCCATATATATTAGAAAATATTTGTTATGTACATGGAGATAAGAAACTTGTGAAAACTTATCTATGTAAGGTTACAAAGTTTTTGCACAGCAAAAACGAAGATGATGAGCAAGGTAGATTAAACTGTGAGATAAGAGCCATAAACGTACTAAAAAAGGGATCAGTGGAAGTTGATTATCTAACACTGGATATGAAAGCTAAAAAAACTCATGGAGACCTAGATAGACTACAACCTGAATTATTTCTTTCTGAAGGCCGCTTGTTTGACGTTAAACAGGAGATTTACAGATTACCTGATCGTCTAATGTACAATCTTGGTCTATATTATGGTATTAGAGGAGATAGTGGCTGGGATACAGTGGATAAATTAGAAGAGCAAGGAATAATCAATCGACAAGCAGCAGTTTATCTGAGAAATGTCATAACATTTGCAACAATCCTCAGATTAAAGACCTACTCTTACCATAAAGCACAGAAGGAGGATATGTCGATATTTGTTAGACCAGCTGAAACTGCATCTGAAATCAAAGAACAAATTAAATATATATTCCATTTATCCGAAGCAGATTTAGAAGAAGAAGGAAGGTTGTTTCAATATTTTTATACTGCTCTACCATTGTATAGGAGATTAGAGGAATTTTGTACTCAATATCAAGTATTAAGTAAAGAAAGTAGGCAAACATTTTTTAAGGAAAGTAACTTTTATGAGGACAATACAGCTAATAAAGGTTTTATCCATTATCGATTAGCACAATATAAGGATGCTCAAAGCAACTTAGAAGTAGGATTAGATGATTTAAACAATCAATGTGATTTGCAAGAGAGACTAACATTGGGACTTATATACAACAAATTTGGTAAAAACAATCAGGCTATAGAACAATATGAGTTTTGTTTAAATATTTTGAAGCTCACCTATCAGGATAAACTTCATCCGGATGTTGTTGCTTGTTTAATTAATCTAGGGAACGCTTATGAAGCTAAAGGAGATTATAAACAGGCAATTAAGTACTATAAGGAGAGCCTAAAGATAAACAAACTCATCTACCAAGATAAAGCTCATCCGTATGTTGCTATGTCTTTCAATAATCTAGGCTGCATTTATAATAATAAAGGACACTATGAACAGGCAATTAGATACTATAAAGATTGCCTAAAGATGAACAAGCTTATCTACCAAGATCAACCTCATCCAGATGTTGCTAATTCTTTCAATAATGTAGGGAACGCTTATTATGAAAATGGACAATATGAACAAGCAATGAAGTACTACGAGGAGAGCCTAAAGATGAATAAAATCATCTACCAAGATGAACCTCATCCGTTTATTGCTACTTCTTTCAATAATCTAGGGAACGTTTATAATGATAAAGGACAATATGAACAGGCCATTAAGTACTATGAGGAGAGCCTAAACATAGAACAACTCATTTTCAAAGATAAACTTAATCCGTCTGTTGCTTCCTTATTTAATAATTTAGGGATTGCTTATAATGAAAAAGGACAATTTCAAAAAGCAATTAGATACTATGAGGATTGCCTTAGGATGAGAAAATGTTTCTATCAAGATCAACCTCATCCGGATGTTGCTACTACTCTCAATAATCTAGGGAACGTCTATTATGATAACGGACAATATAAACAGGCGATTAAGTACTATGCGGAGAGTCTAAAGATGAACAAACTCATCTACCAAGATAGACCGCATCCGGATGTTGCTACTTCTTTTAATAACTTAGGGAGCACCTACATTGCTAAAGGACAGTATGAAAAGGCAATAAGGTACCATAAGGAGAGCCTAAAGATGAGAATACTTATCTACCATGATAAACTACATCCAGATATTGCTATTGCTTTAAATAATCTTGGAATTTCTTATAACGCTAAAGGAAAATATGAACAGGCAATTAAGTACTTTGAGAACAGCCTTAAGATAAACAAATTCATATACCAGGATGAACCTCATCCGGATGTTGCTGCTTCACTACAGAGTCTAGGGTTCGCTTTTTACTTTAAGGGGAACTATGAACAGTCAATTAAGTATCATAATGAAAGCCTAACGATGAAAAAGCTTATCTTCCAAAATGAGTCTCATCCGTTGGTTGCTGATTCTTTCAATAATCTAGGATCAGCGTATAGAGCTAAAGGACAGAACAAACAGGCGGTTAAGTACTTTAAGGAGAGCCTTAAATTAAAAAAACTCATCTACCAAGATGTACCTCATCCGTCTGTTGCTGCTTCTTTCAATAATTTAGGGGTTGTTTCTAAAGATAAAGGACAATATGATCAGGCAATTACGTACTATGAGGAAAGCCTAAAGATAAACAAACTTGTTTATCAAGAAAAACCTCATCCCGATTTGGCAACTACTTTTAATAATCTAGGAAGAGTTTATGATGCTAAAGGATAATATGAACAGGCGATTAAGTACCATAAGGAGAGTCTAATGATAAACAAACTCATCTACCAAGATGAACTTCATCCTAATGTAGCTGCCACTTTTAATGATCTAGGTGAAATGTATAGAAAGAAAGGAAAATATGAACAGGCAATTAAGCTCCACAAAGAGAGCTTAAAGATAAAAAAAATCATTTACCAAGATGAACCTCATTCGTCTGTCGCTGCTTCTTTCAATAATCTAGGGTTAGCTTATAAAGATAAAAAACAATATGAACAGGCCATTAAGTGCTACGAGGAAAGCATAAAGATATACAAACTCGTCTACCATGATAAACCTCATCCGTTTGTTGCTAATACTTTCAATAATATAGGGAACCTTTATATTGCTAAAGGACAATATGAACAGGCGAATAAGTACTATGAGGAGAGCCTAAAGATATACAAACTCGTCTACCATGATAAACCTCATCCGTATGTTGCTAATACTTGCAATAATATAGGGAACCTTTATATTGCTAAAGGACAATATGAACAGGCAATTAAGTACCATGAGGAGAGCCTAATGATGAAAAAACTCATCCATCATAATGAGCCTCATCCGGATATTGCTGCCTCTTTTAATGATCTAGGTGATATGTATGGAAAAAAAGGACAATATGAACAGGCAATTAAGTACTATGAGGAGAGCCTAAAGATGAACAAGCTCGTCTACCAAGATGAACCTCATCCGAATGTTGCTAATACTTTTAATGATCTAGGAAACGTTTATAATGCCTACAAACAGTATGATCAGGCAATTAAGTGCTATGAAGAAAGTCTTATGATGAGTAAACTTATTTACCAAGATAAACCTCATCCGGATGTTGCTGCTCCTTTGGATGGTCTAGGGTTAGCGTATAATGCCAAAGGACAATATGAAATGGCGATTAAGTACCATGAGGAGAGCTTAAAGTTAAACAAACTCATCTACCAAGATGAACCTCATCCGTCTATTGCTGATTCTTTCAATAATCTAGGATTAACATATAGATATAAAGGACAATATGAACAAGCGATTAGGTACTACGAGGAGAGCCTAAAGATAAATAAACTCATTTACCATATTGAACCTCATCCGATTGTTGCTGTTTCTTTCAATAATTTAGGACTAGCGTATAGAGCTAAAGGACAATATGATCAAGCGATTAACTATCTTATCCAAGCCTTAAAATTGTTATCAGTTTTTCAGGCTAATCCTTTTGAAGATTTTATAAAAAATAATTTAACAGAAACAGCCATATTATTTGCTGAAAAATATTCTTTAAATCCACAACAAATTAAAGAAAAAATTTTTTATTTTGCTTCTGAAGGATTAGATTTTACAGATTATGAACTACATTTTGCCCTTGCATTATCTCAAAGTAACAATAGTGAAAGTCAGCAGCGAGTTGAAGAAATGATAGAAGAATATACATTAGCCCTGGTATTTCTTCCAAAGGAAGAATCAGAAATTAAACTAAAATTATGTTATAAATTAGCTGAACTCACAGGGCAGGATCCTAAAATCATTGAATTAGAGCTGTTGTAGCAGAATCGTATACAGATAAGATACAAAAATAATTTGATTTTGGGGTTAACATTGGTCATATGCCAATGATGTTGATAATGTATCAACATTAATTCAAGCAGAAGCTGATACTAATTTACCTAATAGTTGTTAAATTCCTCTTTATATTACTCTTCGAATATGAAAAAAGCTAAATTATTACCAGGAATTAGAGCATGGTACCCAATAATATATCAGTCATAAAGAAGCTATAAAATTAATACTGCTGACAGAGCTAATATTTATATCCAAATTGTTGATGGAAAAACACTATTATATTGTTTTTTAGAAGAAAAGGCTATTAATTTAGGTGCTAAATAAAAAATAAAACAAATATTATGGCTTTTGTATGATATATTATTTATGGACAAGAACGGTAAAACAATTATAAGTTATGCCCAAGTTTATTGTCCGCAACCTTTTTACTTTTAGGAATACATATTTGTCGATAAAGTTTGAGTGTTCCCGCCTTACTGGTAATATGCTGTGTAAATAGTTTATTCCTTTTATATTTTCCAGTGCATTACACTCCGCAAATAGATTATCTACTATAAGTTCATTGTATAATAATATAGATTTTGTTAGTAATCTACAACACTGATTCCATACTCATTCTCCAAAATGATCTGTACTCCACTGTACCTTCCACTATTCACTTTTGATAAACTTTAAATGATACCTCTAAAATCCTCTGTACTTTCCACTACTCACATTTTGATATAGCTTTAGATAGCTGGTGGTAAAATTCAACTTTGTTTAAAGCTTTACGAATTTGGCTCCGCATTATTTAATCATCTAATTATTTATTTAAACTAGCAGTAAACAACCCGTAATACGGGTTAGCAGTAAATAAATCATTACCAACAATTTGATATTTATTTACTTTCTCTAATAAAATATAAATTTATTTATACAGAAAGCAACCCGTTATACGGGTTAGTAGTAAATAAATCATTACTAACAATTTGATTTTTATTTACTTTCTCTAATGAAATATAAACTTATTTATACATTTTTTTAGTTGAGCTTACTTTTACTTTTCTTGGCTTTTTAGTTTAAGAGAACTCTTAGCTTCATTAAAGATAAAGTTAACCATTTCATTTGCAATGTTCAGACATTGAATGCGCAAATCACAACCATGTAGTAGTTAAAAATGACTTGAATTATATGCACAGAACATCGATGTCAAATTTTCAAATGGTAATATATTCTATTCTAAATTTTGCGTTAAGCTGAGTCCTTTCTTTTTTTTTTAAACTTTTCATATTATTGAGTGAAGAGCTTAAAAATATGTCACTATCGCACCTAAACTTTTCAATGTTATTAATATACTTTTTAAATATTTTTAAAACATCTGAAATATCACACCCAAACTTGTAGGCATAGAAGTTGGATATCCGGAAAAACTATAAGTTGAAAATATATCGCAATTTCGAAAAGGGCTTACCCTCCATACGGATCCTTTATTATTATGATAAAGATTATTATTAAACCAACCTTTTTTTTTAATTAGTAATCCACCAGAAACTGGTTTATAAAAAAACAATAAAGGAATGTATAGATTTACTTTATTAGCTAATGTGTATCAACATATTTATTTCAGCATACATCCAATCCATATTTATACTAATTTTATAAAATGTCCGGAATACATTTTGCCTTAACTTGGCGTTAAATTATTAGTTTTATTTCATTAATTTTTGTATAGATCAGGTTAATAAAAAAAGCAATTTGATTTTACTCAATATTTTTGAAACAATTATTCAGCTTTGATAAAATTGATAAAGTCATATAAGACAGTTAAAAAATATATTTAAACCTTTGTTCACTTTTTGAAAATCCGTAAAAAAGCAAGTATCAAAATTACATATCTTTAAAAGAAATTTCTTTACATGATATAAAGTTAAATATGTAACAAAAATATTTTAAAACAGAAGCATATATAAAACACATATTTCTTAAAAAAACGAAGTTGAAGCCACCATTTACAGCACCGAGGAGCCAAGCATAGCCTATTGTAAAAGAAACCATATCAAATAATTTAAAATATTTATTACCGATAGGGACAACAATTAAACATATTTAAAAAGCTAGGTGATTCCATAATAGTAGGATTGTTATAGAAAAGTATATTAAAAAAGTATGTTTAAAAAGTATATTTGAAAAAAAGTGTATTAAATAGAAAACAGATTTTTAAAAACTACCTAATTTTGTAAGCATTTTGCCAAAAGTGTTCAATTTTGAAACCAATATCTTTAATGGAAAGCCAACTTGTTTGACTAATCTCATTCAAAGAATAAAATTATTAACACTTAAAAATAAAGAAAAAAAAAATGAATGAGATATAAACAATCGTACTATAGTATTATATAGATAAGTAGATATAAATGAAAAAAAAAAACAACAACTGGAAAACAGTATACCTGCTTTTGGTAACCTATTGTGATATTGCAGCAGTTGCTGTAGGGATGCAGCTGTTTTTTTTGGTGTTGTTCAAAAACGTAATTTTTATGTTGGCTTTTCGTAAACTATAGTTTAATTTAAAAGACATCACAACGGATTTAAAACACTCATAATAAAAAAAGCAAAACATAAAATGTTTCAAGGAGCCAAACTATAAACATAAAAGATGAAGAATCGAATCGAGATAAATAAATTGTATTTATATAGCTAAATATATTGCCTTGGGTTTTGGTAAATTTTAAAAGCAATGAGTTCAATAAATGAAACATACCAAATAATTGTTTTAAACAAAAGAATAAAGCATCATTATATTATGATAATTGGATAATGAATCAATTCAACTTTCGACTTTAGATTTTAGGGAGGGGTATTTAAGAGGGCTTTAAATTTGAAGTCAGGTTTAATTGGTGAGAAAACAAATAAAATTTTCATTAAAAAAGATCAAAACAAATCAAATATACAACATAAAATATATTTAAAAAAAAATTACAAAATTAAAACTAATTACAAAATTAAAAAAAAATACACCGAAGAAAATGCAGCAACGAAAAAGTCATAAATATCTTTACTTATAGAAGACATTTACAACCTTTTGGTTGCTGTTTTTTCTTCGGTGTCTCTAAACACCCCGGTATGAATGAGCCCTTCATTTAAAGGAGGGCTCATCCATTCTGCCATTATCTTTCCATTTGTTGAAGGACCTCTCTGAGAAAGGTCCCGGGTGTTGGGAGCGGTAACTTTTATATTCTTCGAATGATAAGGAATCTAAAGTTACAAATAGAAGAATATAATAAAAATTATATATTTGCAATTGTATAAAAAAAAAAAAATTAGCATTACAAAAAAAGAGCTAATTAAAAAGGGTTAAACATGCAACATTTTGTATTTTAATAAATATATAGGGCAATAATGCAACCAGTTCAAAAGTGTCATACTTATTAATTAATTTTTTCACCTATTGCACATATTTCTCCATACAAAACATATAAAATATAAAACACAGAATACCAGCTATACTTCCATCAGACACTAAAGACAAATATATACTTAAATAAATATAAAATAATCGATAAAATAATGTTAACATATAAATATATACATATCTAAATAATTGTTTTACCCATCCCCCTCATTTCTACCATAAAGTTGTCTAAAGTAAGAAAAAAATAACTAAAGCTGAAAACAAAACTATTAACTAAACCAAAACTATAAGCTAAAGTAAACTTTAAATCTTCTAAATATTAATGCTTTATTTATTAAACTAAACTAATCATAATTTATACTTAGTTTTTGTTCCAACTCCCCTAAAAGAAAGTATAAAATAAAGCTAAAGAACTTGATTTTTTAAAATTCCAGTGGCATTACAAATAAACAAATTCCTATTAACAAATATCTAATAGCAAAAACACTGACTTATTTCCTTGCTCACTTCTGTATCTAAACAATAAAAGCACTTTAATGTTTAGACGTTAAAATATCAATAAAATACATATTAAATGCCACATTCAACTAACTAATGTAATTAATACCTTAATTAGATCTCTCTTGATTAACTAAAGAATTTAAATTTTAAATAAACTCTAACTAAGTTTTAACAAACAAACAACCGAAATAATTCTTCACTTTAATTTACGTTATTAAGTTGATTAAATAGATCAATTAATTTAATCTACTCTAATAATCTACTACCTTACTAATAAACTTTAATCATTTTTCTACGACTCAGTGTAACTATAATATAGATATTTTTAAAGTAAAAAAGAATATTATAATATATATGATTTTAAAAACCTGAAATTTTAAATCTACCTCGAAGAAAACATATATATATTGAAAAGTATTTTTATTTCTTTTTAAAAATTTATAAATGCTTTATAACTTACTTGTTTCAATATTATTACCAACGTCTAAATAGAAAAACAAACAAACATTCAAGTCGACTCATTCTTAAATCTTATAATATATATGATTTTAAAAACCTGAAACTTTAAATCTACCTCAAAGAAAACAGATGTTTTCTTTGAGGTAGATTTAAAGTTTCAGGTTTTTAAAATCATATATATTATAAGATTTAAGAATGAGTCGACTTGAATGTTTGTTTGTTTTTCTATTTAAAAGTTTTTCTATTTAAAAAGTGTTTTTACTTTTTTTTTTTTTTTTTTTTTTTGTCGTTTTTACTGTTTTTACTTCTTTTTAAACATTTAAAAATGCTTTTCAACTTACTTGCTTTAATATTGTCATCATCTAAATAGAAAAGCAAACAAACATTTAAGTCGACTCATTCTTAAGTCTAGTTTAATTTCTTCAATAATTAAAACAATTTAATCTTTGAGGATTAAATTCATTTACAAAAATTTAATGTTCGTTTAAACCATTTTGTAAGTTTTAACCAATATTGTAAAGTTAATTTAAATTAACAAACATATATATGCAATTTATAACATTTGTTTATAACAAAATGAAACAAAACTTACTTCTTAGTAATTCAGCAACTAAAAATAAACATATATTTAAGAACTAAAAACATAACATTATACATCTGTAACATAATACACATCTAAATAAATGCAAACCTTCATCTTCAACCTGATTCATTCTATTAGTTCGATATAAAAAATAAAAACAAATATGCTTAAAAACAAATTTAATAAAGGTAATAGACATGTTAAAACATAAAAAATGAAAACGATTGAATTGATTATACAGAATATGATCTACGATTAGATGTAAAGAAAATTAATAACGAAAACGCGCTTTTTATAATAAGTCTGGAAATTACAATCTCAAAATTCCAGAACAGAAGAAAAACTGCGCACAAACAAAACTGCGCATCACTAACTAAAGTAAAAAAGCATTTAACTTTAGCTATGCAAATTACATCACGATTAGCATGTTTAATTAAGTATATTATGATTATCAACTTAAAAA